GCGTGGGGGCTGGGGAGCAACCTGGCGCGAGGTGGGGGAGGAGGAGCGCCGGCCCGGGACTCTGCGCGGGTGTCGTGGGGGAAAGAGTTTCTAGTGAACCTCTTTTCTGAAAATCACGGCGGGCCGAGGGCTCGGAGAGGGAGGGCTCTGAGTGGATCAAGATGCGACGTTGGAGGGAAGCGATGCGCTCGCTTGTAGTCGCTTCTTAGGAGTCTGGTCCCTCCGGGCAAACCAGCCCCTGGTCGCCTCCAGGTGCGGCTTCCCTGAGCTCCGCCTCTCACCTTCCAGACCGCTGCGCGCGAGCGCCGTAGGGGCCGGAGCAGCGGGTGGGCGTGTCTCCTAGTCCAGGTTAGGCTCCTTGGAAATAGAGTCTCATGCAAATCCAGGCCTTCCCTGGAGGGGAGGAAAAGACCTGGGGCTGGAGGTTACAGGGAGAATCGCCTGCTTGGTGGGAGACACGCGGTTAATTCGCTGGGCACTTCAAAAACTTTTTAGGAGACTGAAGACATTCGCTGTTCTGATGCCCCATTACCTCTAGTGCCCACTTCCTTCGCACCACCCTCCTTTGCTGCCTCCATTCCCACTTGTCTGTCGGAATGTGTTGGGTATCTTCCTTTCTCTCTGTCCTGCGGCCACTTTGGACACCTCCAACTTCTCATTTCCAGTGCTTACTAAGAGGGAGATGGTCAATTGATGCTGTGATAGCAGAGAAAGGTTTATTTCCACTCCTCTCAGTTGTGAGATAAGATAAGGCTATAACTGGAAGAAAAGAAGAAAACAACAACAACAACAACAAACCAGATCTTTCTGTGTCGCCCTTTACCGTGGATAGAGCCTGGGTGTATGGGTCTGGCTGACAGAGGAGGAGAGGGTCCTGAAATTAGGGTGAATGAACTAGGACAACTGAACAGGAGTGAGGTGGTGCGATTTTTGCTTCTGGACATCACGGGCTCGTTCTTGCTCTAGTGGAAACTGGAGCCCGGTTTATTTCCTTCAGGGCTGTGGCACGACCCAGAGTCCAAGTTGGTTAAGAAAATCTGGGAAGAGCAGACCTACTAACTGCCATTGTTGAAGCAGGCTCTTTACAGATGCTTCATGCACATTGGAGGGAAACCTCCTAAGCAGTTAGACGCATAAAACCAGCCTTTAGTTGGCGATTTTTCTTCATAATGGCTGTTTTGTGTGTGAGCATAGATTGTGTGTGTTGGGGGCTGGGGGGGGGGGAGGTTTGAGTAATATTGTGTAAAGGGTATTGTTGGTTATGCTCATGAGGCCTTTATCTGCATTCGGCTGAAGGGACTCATGTTTTACTGAGCAGTCTCTGCTTTTGCTTCTATAAGCAAATGCTTACATGGCCAGAATGAGGGAGTGAGTGTGTGTGTGTAATTCTGAAAGAAATGAACCGGACCGTTTGGAATATTTTTGATGGTAGCTGATACATAACATTAAATGAGAGAGTGAGGAAAATACCATCTGGAAAAACCCAAATGAGTGCCACGAAACTCATGTTGAATGATTTGGGCCTGTTCTTTTTCAGAGTCAGCAAAAATGACTTTCAAGGGTGAATGTCCTCAGGAGCTAGCTAGCAAGCACGTGTAAGGAAAAATGTGGGTATGTGGGAAGAAATGGCTTCACACATTAATGTTAGAAACAGGTGCGGGCCCGAACCAGCAGGGAGAGGAAGGCTAAATTAAAAAAAGTTGTTGTAAAACTTGTATGTGGAGCAGACACATGCTCTTTGAAATAAACCAGTTAAATAAAATCTGTGAATAAATACATAGAGTTGGCAACATTTCCCTATACTGTTTTCCACGGTTGTCTAAGGTATTGTCATCGACATCTGTTGTGTGACTTTAAAAGGGCTACACATTGTTTAGGGCCTTCTTATTGCTTACTGTCTTAAGTCTTTGCCGGGGCTCCTCACTTCTAAGAAGTCTTAGTAGGAAAAAGTTGAAACGTGAAGACTGCTGTAGTCATTTGTTATCGATTGTGTTCTCTGGATTGTCCGTTAGTGCTGAAAATGTGTCTAGACTCTGCCTGTTTCTCACCATCACCTCTGCTACCACTTTGGTCCAAGCCGCCAGGGATGCTGCTGAACACTCTACTGTGTACAGGTCAGCTCCCACAACAAAGAGTTATCTGACCCCAAATTATTAATAGCACTGACATCAAGAAGCCCTGTGTTAAGCCTTAAGTCAGATCATGTCACTCTCTGCCCAGCACCTTCCAAGGGTTTTTAGTTTCTCTGAGTAAAATTCAAGATCCTTGAGATGTCACCTCTGACTTTATCTCTTGCTGCCTGCCTCCTGGCTCCAGTCTGCTTCAGTCAGGCCAATCTCCTCACTGTTCCTGGAATACCCCAGGCCCTTCCACCTCTGAGCTTTTGTATATTGCACTTGCTGTTGCCTCTGCTTGGGCCATCCTAGGCCCAGACAGCCACAGCCACAGCACTCACTTCCCTACCAACTTCATGTCTGCCTTCAAATATCATTTCATCACACTGATGGTGTGGCCTTCCTTGACCATGGGGTTTACTATTCCCATCTTTCAGTCTTCCTTGCCCAGCTGTATTTTTTCCATAGCGCTTATACTATAATCTACTGTATGAGTAATTTTCCAATATGTTATGTTTATTATGTGTTTCTCCACACTAGACTGCAAGCTCCAAGAGACCAGGGATTTCTGTCTGTTCCTTGTTCACTGTTATGTCCTTAGAGCCTAGAACAGAATTTCTCAAGGGTCATTAGTGTTGATCTTTTGGGCTAGAAAATTCTTTGCTGTGGAGGGCTTTCCTATGCACTACAGGATGTTTAGCATCATCCCTGGCCTTCTGCTAGAAATCAGTACTGCCCTCTCCATCAATTGTGACAACCCAAAAAATGTCTTCAGACATTGTCAGATGACTTGCTTTGGACAATATAACCCCTCGCCCCTTTTTTGAGTCAGAGTCTCATTCTGTCGTCCAGACTAAAGTTCAGTGACATGGTCACAGCTACTGCAGTTCAGACTTCCTGGGCTAGTCGATCCTTCTGCCTCAGCCTCCCAAGTAACTGGAACTACAGGACTGTGCCGGTTTTTTTTTTTGATTTGTTATAGAGATGAGGTCTCAACATGTTGCCCAGGCTGGTCTTGGGCAGTCCTCTCTTGGGCTCAGGCAATCCTCTTACCTTGGACTCCCAAAGTTTTGGGATTACAGGTGTGAGCCACCATAACTGGCCCCAAACCACCCTTATTTCAGAACCATTAGCCTAGAACAGTACCTGGCACAATAAAGATTTGTTTGAATATATTTACTTTCTCCCTTACTACTATTTCCCACTCTGGGTAAGGTGTTTGGTTTTGTTTTTTGCCATGAACATTATGTTCCTTTTAAAATCGGGATCCACCAAGTTCACTCCAGAGAGAAATTTATATACTCTTCATTGGGACTATACTGACATATTCAAGTGTTTCATGAGGAAAGACTCATTTCATTCCTAACCCAGAACTCCTTGCCTTTAGGAATCTGAAGGTGTTGGATTTAGAATATGTGAACCCCATTTTTGAAATGTTTTATTGACAGGGAAGCCTGTGTCATAGGGAAGTACATCCTATGAGAAAAGGTTCTAATGAAGAATTGTTTGCACTTTGGTTCCTCTAATCAGGTTTTTGAAACCTTTGTGTATTTTCCTGGGAATGAGTTAGTTCTGAACTGTGGGTGGCAGAGGAAAAGTGCTGAATATTGAGAGTGAACCCAGAATTCACATAGGCATAGTCATGGCAGGAAAATAAATGTGGAACTGTTGAGTGAGCTTCTCGGAGCAAGGGAACGTTCTGTAGGTCTTTTAGACCAAAAATCGACATTTTAAGACATTGTAGCATTTTTAAGGCTCATGGTCCTTTTGTTTGGTTTACTTAGTGCTCAATCTGTGGCTTTGAAGTTGCTAATATCCTTTTCCTGGACAGACTTCAGAATTGGCATAAGTTAATTCCAGTTTCCTCTTAAATTTTTGGTACTGCTTTAGACAGCTATTATTAAACATCCTGCAAATTAGAAATGGGAATGGAAGTTAGTATTGGGTTTATCAAAGCAGGATAGGATACAGCAGTGCTCCCCAAATGATGATTCACAGAGTGGTATGTGAAGTTTTCATGGGTTTGGGGTAAAATGAGAAAGATAAGGACTGTTGGGTCATACACATATATTTGGGTATGAGGCCACTGCCAGTTCTCGAATTTATCTGAGATTTTTCCCTCCTGTCTTCATATTTTAAAAAATACTCCTTCTTTTATGAATAATAATCCATTCATGGCAAAACAAAACTGTCAATCTTTTTTTGGTTTCTGGAACTTTTCCTTGATTTTTTTGTTCTGTTGGATCTACGGGGAGCCCCTATCATAGAGATGAAGAGCCTTGCTCTGATATCAGTGTCTGTCCCTTACTAGCTGGGTGACTTTGAGCAGGCTAGGTGACCTCTAATTTCCATTTCCTCATCTGACAATTAGGAGTCTGCCTCCTAGGGGTCTTAAGAACACTAACTGTGACATTGACAGTGGGGAAGTATTAGCATGGTACTTGACACATAGTAAGTGCTCAGTAAATGTTAGAAGATACTCTCGTTATTTTCTTTATTACTTAGCAGTGAGCTCTGGCATTCTGGGAAGTGTTGCATTTGGTTGACTGTGGTTATCTCCTCTAAGAAAAGTGTTGT